CCTGTACATTTAATGGCATAATGGATAAGCAAATATTTTTCAGTGGGACATAATTCTATCATATTGAAAATAATAAGAAATAAAAATAAGTTTTTAAATTCATTGAATATATTATCTGATAAAAATATAATAAGAAATTAATTTTGCATAATGTATTAAATATCATAGACATTAAAATATATTTACCTATATGATATATAATATCATAGAGACAGACATTAAAATTAAATATCATTTATTCAAGACGAAAATAAAGCACCCTTTAGAAGTTTAAAATAAACTGAAATTTTGTATTTGCAATTTTTTTATAATTATTTATCATTTTCAACAATTTTATGTAATATACATACTTATTGTAATACGTATATTATATATTTATATGTGAACAAAAGTGGTTTTTTATTGTTAAATCTGAGCTCTCTATACGCCATTCAATATAATATTTAGCATAAAAAATTAATTAATACGTTTATTATAAAGTAGCATATTATGTTTATGATGCTAATGATGCTTAATATAATTATTTAATTAAACACTGACAAATCACTGGTTTGAATTAATTATGATTAACAAAATTAATTTTTAATATATAATTAATACTCTTCAAATAACAATAATTTGTTTAGCTTTAAACCTTGCAATTGCAATGTCTTCAGCATTATTAGTTCTTTTGAAACTGCATAATCCAAATCTTAATTGTATGTGGTTTTATGCAAACCAATTTACTAAGTTCTAAAACCATCCCGATACTTTCACTTCCTCCAATATAGTACGACATTAACACGATAATGATAATCCCTCACAATTCCACAATTTTAAATTTCTTCTTATGTTGAAGTCAAATAAAAAAGTCACATAAAAATGCAATTTAATAGGTTGACACTGTGACAAGAGGTTAAGTGATTTATATTCACATTCACGTCTATGACAATTACTGATACATATAATTATTTTAAATATGTTTAATTTATGCAATATAGCGGTAAGAAAGGATTATTTCGCAAAATAATTTATTATTTCGTTGACATTATTAACGCTTTTTCATGTAATTAAAATAATTTTGATGTGTGTTTAAGTCTCTACATTTCGTTGTAAAATCATTTTGTCACTGTGATATTTGTGTTGCAATAAAAGAGGTTAAAGTGTAAATTTAGAGGACAGTTACATTGGGAAAGGTGAAAAATTAAGGATTTCTCTTAAAGGAAAAAAAATTGCTTTAAAAGATTTAAATAATATATCTACAATTTATATGACCACAAACTGTTCTATTTCATACCTTCGCGGAAAAAAGTACAGTTATTTAAGTAAAGTTATAAGCCGTCTAAATTAATGAACGATGAACGACTTTACAATGGTCTGAGACTGGCGCACGGTTATGTAAATTAATAGAGTAACATCTTTCCTAAACTATCGCACAGTTATATAAATTAATAGAAATATATATTTCATGGTTCTTGCCACGTCAGAATAAAGGCACAACATGTATATAAAGAAGGCAAAATCTCTTTGATGATTTTGTTGTAGTAATAGATATAAAATCCATATATTTTCTTGATGTGAATATAAAATCTGTATTCTGCGCTGTCGATTTTGTACTAAAATATGATTTTAAAGACATTTTCACATTCAATATATCACCAAAGACCTTGCAGAACTTGATAGTTATTAACTTTTAAATCTTTCATTTATTTAATTCTGCTTCCTTGTTCAACATAGTGTGGAATATTTGATATATTACTTCTAAGAACAATGTATTTTCTAGCCGAAATATAATTTTAGTGAACTATCCTAAAAAATGGTTGCAGAAATTTAATTTTTGAATTCATTTTGAGTTCTTGATATGGCTACATTAGAGAGTACTAATAGCACGCAACATAAACGAGATGCTGTGAAATTGTTATGAATTCAAAAATATCCTTCATTTTTAAACATATAAATACTATTATATGCAGTATATAATAGACTGAACTATATTATAATACAGTTATTTTCAAGAACGTACTTTATAGTTTGCAAAATGGTTTCTGCTGAGAAGCTAAGCGGATTTGAATCTACTGAACGTATAGGTTATTGTTCAGTCGTAATAATGTATTTAACGCTGCTCCTCCCTCAACAAAAGTTAATAGGGACATACTTTTTATGGTGGTGTTTAATAGTAAGAAATCTTGCTGTAGTTTCTTTTCCATTCTCTCAGGCTGCAAAGAAACTAAGTGTAATTCTGAGGATTCTTCAGCCATAAGATCGGGTTACTGTAACAGTCAACCAAATTGTCCACGTCACTTATATTGTAAGGTGTATTGTACTATTATCACCATCTCAGAACTTACTGTTAGTTAATTATGAGGCAATTTCAAAGTACTAATAAAACACAGCACCATGTTTTTATTCATAGTACTGAACATTTCTACGAGAGAGGTGAATATAAAATTTTCAATAAAGTTCGCTTTGTTTCTGATTAGGGGTGTTCTGCAGATAAGGTGTGTCTTTCACTTTCGCATTTGAACAACTTGTGCAATATACTTGAAAATAGACTCCCAACCTATGATATGATTGTTATCACATAGCTTGTGACCACTTATAAAAGTTTTTCCTTAAAAAATATGGGCTAAGTTAATCCTTTGATATTTTTTTATCATGTATTGACTTTACTAACTGATATGTCTTACAATTGCTTTAGTTCGACCTAAACGAATTGGTTTTCTAAATGTGTGTCAACAATAAATTACAAGTGCCGATGGGTTTTTAATACCACATTTCTGTACGCGCAAGGAGAAGTTAATAACGTGTTTGGCTAGGTCCTCGGCTCTGTAATTTGAATTAAGATGTCTAGTACAGTAGTCTAGAGGATTTGCATGTGTGTGCTCGCATAGATTACTATACCACTATGACCAAAATAAAGTATGTATTAAATGTAGGTATCAAATTAAAGGATATAAATATTCTTTATGGATATTTATTGCTGATATTTAATTTAAAGATATTTGAATATAACGAAACGAGTCAAGTTATTCAAATAAACAGTTTTTGATATATATAAAGTTTTTAATAGCACGTTTTTATTACATAGATTATCTTTGCTTACCCTGTAGCTTAGTAAACACTAACCATTATCTTTCCTTCACTTTATCTTTGGACCAGCGTATTATCTGTCAAATTGATAGTGCTGTTCAGCTATTTTAATAATTACATTTTATTATTTTTGTGCTATTTATTCTTAATAGAGTAATAATATTATATATATCATTCATAACACTCTTTAAGGATATTTACATTGTGAGTTCTGAGATATTTGAATATTTTTAACGTTTTAAGTTATTTAAATAAACAGTGTTTGAGATATTTAGAGTTTTTTAACGGCATGTTTTTATTGCGCATTTTATCCTTTGATACCCTGTAGCGTAGTAAATACTGAACTTTAATATAATGACTCTACTTATTATATTATAATCGTCCTTTGGACCTAGCCATTATCTCCGAATTGACAGCATTTCAGCTATTTTATTAATTATTATTCACTCATTTTTGTGGGTAATTATTTCATAATAGAGTGCGCATGGGGATGGGATTGAACATACAAGGTAAAGTGTCTGATTGCATTTAACATGGTAAATGCCAGCGCGATCCTTGTCACTGTTCTCTCCAAGTTGACACACAGCCTCCACGTGGCCCCTCTGGATAGCTACAATCATCCGTGCGTAGTGAACTAATGTGTGCAGCGAAATCCACCTCAGGGATATATGAGGTTTTGCGTCGGGCTTGGAACCCACCATTTAAAAAAATCCTTTCAATGCAAACGAAGAGGCAGCCTCGGATAAGGAAACGATCTACTGATGACGACAAACGCAAACGTATTAAGGAACACGATTTAAAAATATGCACCTGGAATGTCCGAACTCTTTACAGAGAAGGTGCATCTATACAGCTGGTTAATGTCCTCAAGGAATATAAGGCTGACATTACCGCTCTCCAGGAAATGCGATGGACGGGACAAGGATGCTCTAAACGAGATCATTGTGACATCTACTACAGCTGCCATGCAACAAAGCACGAGTTTGGAGTCGGATTTGCGGTAGGCCAAAAGCTGAGAAATTTGGTCTCAACGTTTACACCAATAAACGAAAGGCTCGCAAAAATCCGGATTAAGGCAAAATTTTTCTTTATCACTCTAATATGTGCGCACGCCCCGACGGAAGATAAAGATGACGACACCAAGGAAATTTTCTATGAACAACTTGAACAAGCATATGAACGCTGTCCCCATCATGACATCAAAATAGTTGTTGGAGACTTCAACGCAAAGGTGGGTAAAGAAGGTATCTTTGGTGCTACTGTCGGAAAGTTCAGCCTTCACACGAAAACTTCTGACAATGGAAGAAGGCTGATTGATTTCGCCGCGGCTAGAAACATGGTGGTTAGTAGTACCAGATTCCAGCATCTCAACATACATAAGGCAACATGGCTGTCACCTGATCAAAACACAAGATCTCAAATTGATCACGTTGTGATAGACGGAAGGCATGCTTCCAGTGTCTTGGATGTACGTACTATCCGTGGAGCCAACATCGACTCGGATCATTACCTTGTTGCAGCCAAGATCCGCACACGTTTATGTGCGATGAAAAAGGTACGTGAACAAGCACAGCGAAAGCTAGACGTCGAAAAGCTGCAATCACAACAGACAGCTAATGACTTCGCTACTCGACTCTCCCAATATCTGGAAAACTCATCTGAAGAAGCCGATATATGCGCGCAATGGAACCACATCTCTAACTCTATGCGTACCGCTGCAGAAGAGGTGATCGGCTATCACCGTATACAAAGAAACAGCTGGTACGACCAAGAGTGTCGCAATGCTACCGCAGAGAAAGACGCAGCATATCAAGCCACCCTGCGG